CGGCAGTGAGCGCAGCCGCTGTCAGCGCGGCTGCAGCGGGCGAGCCGTCGGCAGTGAGTGCGGCCGCTGTGAGCGCGGCTGCATCGGACGAGCCGTCGGCAGTGAGCGCGGCGGCTGTGAGCGTGGCTGCATCGGGCGAGCCGTCGGCAGTGAGCGCGGCCACAGCGGGCGAGCCGTCGGCAGTGAGTGCGGCCGCTGTGAGCGCGGCTGCATCGGACGAGCCGTCGGCAGTGAGCGCGGCGGCTGTGAGCGCGGCTGCATCGGGCGAGCCGTCGGCAGTGAGCGCGGCGGCAGTGAGCGCGGCGGCAGTGAGCGCGGCCGCAGCGGGCGGGCTGTCGGCAGTGGGAGTAGCTGCCGCGGGCGAGCCGGCAGTGAGCGCAGCCGCGGTGGGTGAACCGTCGGCAGTAAGCGCGGCCACAGCGGACGAGCCGCCCGCTGTAAACGCGAGCCTCGATGGTGCAGAGAGCGTGGCTGAAGTGCACGAGCGAGCTGGTCATCCGGGCGTCCGACGGACATTGTATTTTGCTCGCCGATGTATCGGCCGCGTCTCGAGAGACCAGGTACGCGCTGTGGTGGCAAATTGTGATGTCTGTCGAGCGATCGACCCGGCTCCAGTAAAGTGGCGACACGGGTCGTTGGGTGTACCACAGACGTGGCACAGACTGGCCATTGATATAACTCATTATGGGGGCCATCCGTACCTCAGTGTGATCGACTGCGGGCCGTCGCGGTTCAGTGTATGGCGGCCGCTGCGACGGCAGGACAGTGTGTGCGTTATTCAGCGGCTGGAGGAGATATTTTTTGATCGAGGAGCTCCGGCGGAGCTGTTGTGTGACAACGATCCTGTGTTCCGCGGCCGACCGTTTGCCGTGCTCGCCGCGCGCTGGGGAGTGGCGGTGAGGTTCCGGGCGGCCCATGCACCCAGCGGGAACGGCGTCATCGAGCGCTGCCACCGGACAGTGAAAGTGATCGCCGCCCGGAAACGGTGCGATATCGCCGAGGCGGTGCACTTGTATAATGTGACGCCGCGTGACGGCGAGGCGGTGGCCAGCGCCCCGTTTTGTGGCGTGTACAGGTACGAGCCGAGTGACTGTGTGCGGTTGCCGGCTGCTCCGCCAGGCACGGCCGCGGACGGCGGGGCCGGGGCGCGAGAGCTCCCTGCGGTGGAGACGGGTCCATACACAGTCGGAGACGCGGTGTGGGTGCGCCGCCGTGGGACGCGCTGCACGGAGCCGTCCCGCCGGGGGACCGTCACGGCGGTGGTCTCTCCGCAGGTTGTCGATGTGGACGGTATGCCACGACACGTCAGGGATTTGCGGCGCAGAAATAGTGAGCCGTCCCCATGTGCTGAAATTGACGCGGACGACCCCATCTACGTGATTGATCCCCCGTCTCTCCCAGTCCTCCAGCCGGCTCCAGTTGAGCAGGGGCCGGAGTTATGCGACGCTCCAGCTCCGGAGCCTCCTGCCGTGGCTCCTCGGCGAAGTCAGCGCACCCGCCGTCCTCCGCAAGGATGTTTCTGTGAGGGATGTAAATGATCCTCAGGATCAGGGGGAGGTGTAGTTGCCGCTGTGCGGAGGCGCGTCCGGTGCACGGCGCGCGTGCGAGTTATAGCGTGCGGCTGGGATTTGTTTGTAGAAAATGTATCAGGGGGGCAGTCGGCGAGAGTGAGCGGGGAAGGGAGCGGCGCGTGGCGGCCGCCGAGCGTTGTTTTCGCAAAGTCGGTTTATTTTCTGTGCGAGTTTAAATACAGATTACCAATATCCTGACGTCTGCAACCCCGCCCATTCCTTGCAGCTCTGATCCTAAATGACCAGCCGGGCTCGATAAAACGTCATAAGGATCAGTCAGGGAAACACGCAGGGTTCAACGGTGCTGTATGGCATATGCTTTGACGGACACACTTTGTGGATTTGTGGTCCTGTAGATGGTTGAGATTTGTTTTTGGACACCATAACAGTATTTTACGGTTATTTATTAAGGGAGGTGAGTCAGAAAATACTGAACAGCTCGACGAAAACCGATCAAAAATTAAGAACGAAAAAAAAAAACGCGACCGGAAAGGCAAATTCAAAACGGACGCCATTTAATTGCGTCCCAGAAAAGCTATTTCTGGCACCTAAAAGCTGACTCGCCCCAAAATTGGTCCTCAGCACCTATTTGGTGGATACCAGCACCAATCATGGAAAATGACCTTAATTAGCTGTTTCTGGCACCTATTCATCGGTACGCCTTACTCTTTTTTTCTGAATCTGGCACCTAAATGCTGAGCGTAGCACCAATCTAGTAGAAAAATGAACTACTGGCTGGTAGAATCATGTTGTTCTGGTATAATGACCCCTGGAGTCTAGCCTAAAGGTTGCCAGTGCAGCTACACTCTAAGACAGCCCCGTAGTGATCTCAGCATTGTATATGACGTTTAAGTAAGCAAATAATATTAATTTGTTTGAAAAAAACAATGTCATTTAAATATTTAAAAGTATTTATTTGTAATGCTTAAAGGGAAACATTTTTGTGAGTAATTGTCTCGATTTTGACCATTAAAACGGGTATTGTATTTTTTGACGTCATCAAATAGCTCCAAAAAAGAAATGTAATGTTTTCATTCCGTTCAAGGCCGCTGAAGAAACGCGGGATCTTGCGTGGGACATTGTCCGTTGTTTGCCGCGCAGAGTTGTGCCGTGGTTGTGCCTTTTTCATCCGTTTCTTACGTATGGCATATGTGTGCATGAAGCTTTGATTTTTTTTTTTTTGGTTATTGTGTGGCCGGTCAGTCAAACGCCCCTGTAGAAACCGGATGCTGCGTTTGATCGAGATGGAGTCAGACGATGATTGCAGAAAGCTAATAATATTGAAAAGAGGGCCGGTTGCGTGGCATGTCTGTTCAGAGTTGACATTTTGCTTTACTCCAGTTTATGACCTGAGAGCCTGGCTGGAAGTGACGGATCCAAACTTCTCACGTTAAAATGGCTGAGGGTGCAATAATCTCTAGTCTCTACATAGCGGGCTGGTATAGGAGCGTCTTGCTATGCTGCACCATAGCTGGCTAGTGATTCTCTTTTGGCTAGAAATGGCATTAATCATTATCTCCACTGGCGAAAATGGCACTTGACATCACCGAATGCAACGTTCATGTTGTTAGGATACATAAAATCAGGAAGATTACGCGAATTAGGTAGGCAAACGTGGAATAAAATAGGTGCTTGATGTTTTGGTTTTGGTGCTGAATCAGCAAACAGCAAATACGGAGTTCAACTAGACGATCTGGCAACTTTAGGCTGTGTGGAAGCAATTAGGTGCCAGATTCAGATATTAGGGTCGAATAAGCATTTTGGGGCTGATCAGCAATTAGGTGCCAGAAACAGCTTTTTAGGGACCAGAAACAAATATTCCCCATTCAAAACCATTGACTGGGATGTGCTTGGTTACACCATCAACTTATGTGTTCACGGCGCAAATGGGATTGATCGGGACACATTAACAAATACACTAGGTATACAGTTTCATAACTCATATGATAATAAGGTATCACCTGCCCATCAAAGCGCAGAACCTCATCCGTCTTATTAGTCTCTGTATTAGTAGGGACCTAGTGGACAGTGGTGTGTGCGAAAAAGTGGGCGTGTGTGAAAAGTTTGGCGAGCCACCTGGGGAGCTGTGTTGCGAGATGTTGAGCTGCATCTGCCTAGCCGGTCCGTGTTCTCCAAACCGGTCTATCAATGGCACAGACGAGCATTAGGTATAAAACGGCATGACATCGGCAGGTGGGCTGACCGCATTCAAGCTAGCGTACGAAAAAAAACTTAAATGATGGAGAGAGTCTGGTTAACGTGATTCTATATATGAAAATTATATGGGGTGACAAATATGGTGATGAATGTCGATTGGGGATCTATAATTCACCAAACATCTCGCTAATCGCTAATAGCACGCACGTGCTGATGCGGGCGTGATATAATGCAATTGAGCAGGCTCTTGCATGAATTTCCTGACTGCTGAGCCGAATGTCTGCTTCAGCTATCACAATATCATAATCCTAGTGGGCGAGGGCCAAGGAGAAGATGTAGCTATGAGAGACGCGTGGTGAGAGCACGCGTTCCCGGTTACAACAGTCCGGGTTCGAAGTGCGACGGGCGCTCGAGGTTTATGAGCCTCCTGACAGGTATGGTTGCGGTTGGTTGGCAGGCCGTAGCCAGGCGAAGTCAGTGAGGGGACCGGCCATGCGCGGCTATGAACACACGTTAAACTTTGGACTCCAAATTCTGCCATAGAACCGGAATTGCGCAATCGGAGGGTAGAGGGCAGGGTCAACGCAACAAGCTTCGCTCAGCGGGGGCTCTGTTGGTATTTTGTGCACATGTCACTTCTTTCTGTGGTGTGTGAGCTTCTATTATCACTACCACAATGTTTCTGCTGTGATTTGGTCATATAATACAGTTCTTTTAGCAATTTCCAGTCCTATAAGGAGCCATACTGATACCTAATCATGAGTGTACACCATGATCCAAACATTGTATCAGTGCCTTCACAGTACACACAGAGAACATCTCATCATGATAGCCATGCATTGCAATCTAGTCTACTGAGCAAGCTGATGAATTCTGCACCATATCTAAAATAATTTGTAATAGCTGGGTAGTGTCTGGAAATCATGAACAGACTTGGCACTTGATTGAAGGTGTTCCACCGCTACTGCTTGAATTGCAATTTAAAAAAAAAAACGGACGCTCACAGCTACATGCCTCTCGGCCACTGCTCCCGATCGGCCACCCCCAACCCAAAGGTTGTTTTGTTGGCATTCGCAAAATCAACACGTCACAAATCAAAACAAACATTGACATTGTTTAGCACAAGGCTATATAAACCGTTTAGCAACACCATCAACCATCCTGACCTCGAAAAACGCGCGATTTTCTCAGACTGCAAAGGCTCAAGATTAAATTCCCACCGAAGCACGTGCCCCATGCAAACTACACTGAACCCGACTGAACCCCACTCACCTAACAAAATGCGTAAATTGCAATTGAGATTATCAGTGTATCGTTACCCTCGTTCTGTCTTTGTGTATATATGCTCATGACAGCATGGTAATTTGACCCTTATGATACAGGAGACACGCGAAACATCGAAAAATTTCCCACGCTCCCCACACGCTCCCAGCGCTTTTGCGTTGTATTTGTCGCAGATGACGAAGTCGAGGTCAATTGCTAATTTACTGCAATAAAATATGCGAGGGAATCTAAACTGCAGCACAAGCCACCTAAGTCATTTGACTGTACGATCTTTATCTCATAAGTCATACGATCATTTGGCGTACGATCATTTTCCTTGACGACCTTTAGCGAATACGATCTTTTGTCCATACGAGCATTATGTCGTACGATCTTTATCCATTACGACTTTTTGGCATACGATCATTTTCCTTGACAATCTTTAGCGAATACGATCTTTTGTCCATACGTTCATTATGTCGTACGATCTTTACCCATTACGACTTTTTGGCATACGATCATTTTCCTTGACGATCTTTAGCGAATGCGATCTTTTGTCCATACGAGCATTATGTCGTACGATCTTTATCCATTACGATATTTTGCATACGATCAATTGCCTACGATCTTCTGCCATACGATCGTCTGCTTTACGATCTTTTGTCCGGTTACCCATCCACGCAGGTGGATCATGCAGGTGGATAGACTTGGGATGGGAATCATGCATGTTTGCTGATGCCATTTTTCAGTGGGAGCCGGAATTCTATAATTGAAATTTGATTCGGATGTAAATAATTCAAATTGGTATCGATAATGATCGGTGATTCTTTTCTAACTCCAAAATGCGACTGACGACTTAGTCTCAATATCTTTTCAGCTATACCTATGATGACAGTGACTTGATTTGAAGGTGGGTTTCTGTGAAATGACGACGTTGACTGACAATCTCATGGTTTTATTTCATCACTACAGTCTACCCTAGCCTACAACTCTCTCCTGGCCGATTGGCTTTGACTTATCAACTGCCGTTTGCCGGTAGGTGTCGCTGCTGTGACGCCGCGAGGTGACGCGGCGCTCGGGATCGGCAGGCGACGGATCACCGTTTTGCCTAGGTCAGTAAGTGAGGGGTTCAGACTTCGGAGTCACAGTCGGAGTCGGAGTCAGACAGGCTCGCCTGCAGCTGTTGCAACAAGCATGAGTAGGAGACGGAACCTGAGACGTAGTTGGGGTCAGCCGAGCTATATTGTCTCATGCTCCCTCCGACCTCACGGACATTTATTAGAACCTCAGGCGTTAGGCACAGGTTCGTAGCTACGCTGCCTGCCGCGCTTAGCACTTGGCCCAGGATCCGAGCTAGCCGGTAGCTGTTAATGTCATGTTCCAGTATGGGGTGCATGCAGGAGGCCTTGCAGCGGTGTGCGGGTTAAAGCTCGAATTATGTGCCGTTTTTCCAAGATATGTCAAAATCGGGAGAATTTGACCATTGATGAGCTGATCTTCGGTGACCTCCCGTTAATTGCAATTTGCCTGGTTGCCTGAACGAAGAAAATCAATTGGATGACACCTAATTAAAGCTATTTTCACTTTTAAACGTTTTTATCTTTGGCATCGATATATGTTATAGGGTATGGCCAAAGAATTAATATTTATTCGTTTTTTTCCCGCGTCGTTTTATCTTTCTTAGTTTTCGACATCGAGCTATGGGATGTGTCCAATCCCCCTCCCGTCATCCCGTGTGAACTGTGCTGAGAGCTGCGACCCGCCCGGGCTCAGCCGGAGCCGGTACGGTCCTCCTGCTGATTTTACCATCAGCTGGGCGCCGGCCGGCGCGTCCCGTCCCGTCCGTCCGATATACATTATTGCGGGACCCGTCGCGTCGTCCGCCCAGGTACCGCCCGGCAGCAGCGCATGCGCCGGTCGGAGGCGGCGGCGGCACCGCGGCCGGGACGCGCCAGTCGCGAGACAGCGCTGTGACGGGGAGGGCACGGCGCAGCGCAGGAGCGCGGTCGGTGGTGTCTCGCAGTGCCCCACTCGGGAGGTATAGGGAGGCCGTCCACCGGTGCCGGCCATGTCTCGGCCGCGCTCAGGCTCCGGCTCTCCGGAGCAGTCGACCCCCGTGTGCCGGTGTCGGGTGCTCTACCTGGGCTCGGCGGTACCGCACGCCTCCAAGGACGGTCTGCAGGGCATCCAGGGGCCGCTGTCGCAGCTGTACCCGGCCGAGGGGCTGGCCGCCGCGCGTGGTATCGACTCGCGCCTCACCGTCTGGAGCAACGGCCTGCTGCTGGAGAACGTGGACGAACAGCAGCACAAGGTGACGCGCTTCTTCCCCATCTCGTCCCTCCACTACTGCGCGGCGGTGCGCTACGTGCTGCTGCCGACCCCCTCCGGGCAGCCGGTGGCGCGCTTCCTGCCGCTGGACTCGCCGCCGGGTCGGTTTCCGAACCCGGCGCACCCCCCGCTGTTCGCCGCCATCCTGCGGCGCACCACCGGCCTCAAAGTGCTCGAGTGTCATGTGTTTATGTGTCGCCGAGAAACGCCGGCCAACGCGCTGGTCTCCTCGTGTTTCCATGTGTACGCCGACGCCGAGCAGGCGCGCCGGCTGAACGGACAGATGTATGAGGCGATTTGTGGTGTGAAGGGAGGAGACACCGCGCCGGCGCCCGCCGCCGACTGGTCCGAGGAGGAGGCTAAACTGGACCTGGACGAGCGAGCTGACGACACTGGGGAGAACGGAGAGCACGCCGAGAACGGCGAGACGGGCGTGGAGCTGGGCGCCGAGAGCGACGAGGAGCCGCCGGCCGGCCGGCCCGGCTCGCGCGAGCAGCTGCGTATTGATGTTGGTGACGGTGAGGGCGGTCCGGCGGGTCGGCCCGGCTGGACGGAGGCGGCCACAGACCCCGGCGTTCCACTGTACGCCACGGCCCGGAGAAACCGTCCTCGGCAGCGGCAGATGCCGGCCGCGCCGCCACCGCCGCCCTCCCCTCCGCCACCGCCGCCGTCCGGGGGCCGTCCGCTGCCGCCCGGACCGGACTGGGACGAGCCGGACCGGACCGGACGGTCCGTGTCCGGCAGTCCGGGCGCCTGGCGCGACCGGGCCGCGATGGGGTCCAGCTGGGAGGATCGGGGCTCGTCAGCGGAGCGCGTCATCCGCACCTCGAGCCGGCGCCGAAACCTGGGCCCGCCGCCGCCGCCGCCGCAGCGCCACTCGATGGCTGCCCCGCCCGGCGGGTTTGGTCCCATGAGCTCGCTGAGCCTGCCGCGGCCGAGCCGGGTGGGGCCGCGCTCCGGCGGGGAGGAGCAGGTGCCTTACGGCCCGTACGGTGCGCCGCCGGAGCCGCCCGGGTACGCCACCGTCGGCCGGCCGCAGTACGCCACTCTGGGCAACCTGCGCTCGCGGAAGACCAGCCCGCCCGGCCCGCCGATTCCACCCGGGCCGCACGGACACCCTCTGATGGCCGGAGGAATGCCGATGGCGCACGGGATGCCGGGACCCGGTCTGCGGCGTCTCCAGCCGCACGAGCAGCGCGCGTTCGGCTTCTCGCTGGAGCAGGAGCAGCGCAGCCGCTCGCACGGTAACCTACTGAGCGCCGAGCCGGGCCCGTGGGACGCGGGACGCGCCGGCCACCAGCTGCACCGGCAGATGGCAGATATGGACCTCAAGGAGCGCAAGGAGCCGCGCCCGCGCCGATCCATATTCGCCTCGCTGCGCCGCTCCTGAGGGGGCCGATAGGCACGTGCGTGCCGCCCCGTGTGACCTTGGCTGGACGGCGGGGGCGCGCCGGCGGACGGCTGCTGCAGGGGCGGGCCGGTCCGGAGACGGTACTTTCACCTCCCGAGACGGGTTGCACGAGAGCTGAGCAGCAGTGTCACCGGCGGTAATCCGTCCGGGCCCCGGAGTGCCAATTGTGAGAGCTGTGCCCCCGCGGAGACGGTGGCTGCTCCGTGAACCGCGGCCGGCCGCCGTGCCGTGTCGGAGCTCTGACCGACGTCCGGGTGACGCCGTCACCGACCGCTGACCGTGACTCACCGGCCGTCGGACGGGGTTCGGTCCGCCGGACGGCGCCGCGGTCCGAACGGCACCCCGAACGGCACCCCGGCCGGCCAGCGCCGCCAGCACGGCCGGCCGCCGCCGGCGCCTGGTGTTATCGGTATATCGGCGCGTCGCGGTCCCCGCCGGCCCCGGCCGAGCGACCAAGTATGCAACTAGCCAGGCTAGACTTCCTACCAGCCGGCGCCGTGCTGTGCTCAATGCTTGTGGAGCCGCCAGCTGATAGGGCGCTGGTGTTTGCCACGCTAGCCAAACATGAAATCCGCAGTGTGAGCTCTGTAGAAAATGCCTCAAATGTGTGTAATCGTTTTGATGTTTCTGCCAAGCAGAAGTTGTGAATGTGTTGTGTACGTGTAATATGTTCATTTGTCAGTGAATATCGGGTACAAGTGAATATAATATACCATATTATTAGCTGCCAACATACATTATGTAAGAATGAATAGTGGAGAAACATATGCAATATGAACTATCCCATAAAACGGTTGCCCAAACGTAGGTATCTGTAAAAATCTTGGGTAAAGATATGTTTGATTGACAAAGACCTTACTACAATCAAATCGCGCTTTGACCCACGTTCATCGCGTGCTTGGATGCCATCCCCGTCCACTGGTGATTAGTTACGACCATAGACAGCGATCAGTTCCCGCTGGTCCGCGATGTAATCCGTCGTCCCTGTTTGCCAGTCGCCACATTCCGAGTCAGGAGTGATGGCTGGCTGTCGTCGACAGGAAAATCCCCGGTACTGCCAGTTTCCCTGCGCCGCGCCACTGTCAGCCGCGGCACGACGGGTGGAGTTGTGCTTTCCTGGTTCCGGTTTCAGCGCTGATGTGAGATGGCTGGCGCTAATCCCACCGTCATTTTCGGCTGTCGAATGACTTCTCTTTCACACCCCTCGGCCTCTGCAAGACTTGAATGGCCGATTTTACCCATTGTCATTCTAATTACAATCCTGAACGAGCTTAAGATCCATTTCGAAAGCTGCCCCGACTGCTGCCGCCCGGCCGCCCGGCTCGGTCCGGTCCACCTCCCGACATTCCGCGAATTTCATTACCGATATTCATCTGACGGGCCGGACTTTGGCCGGCGTTGCTCCGCGTTCCGCCGGCGTCAGGATGGCCATTCTCCGCGCGTCCGGTGGCATCTCACCGGCTGCAGCGCCGGACGGGCCTCGGCTCGGATTGCTATGCATGCCGGTGGTGTATTCTGTGGGTGTAGCCGGTCAGACGGGCCTCTCCATGTGTTACACCTCTGTATGGGGCTGGCGAGCAGGTGGTGGCCAAGGGGAGGGCCGAGAAGAGCCGCGCCTGGCACGGACTCAGCCGTCTCCCGCTGCACCCCGTCACCTTCAGCGAATTGTTTTGTGTCGCCATGGCCTTGCGACCTGTCGTCGCCTCTCTCCCTATTGAGAGACTGTGCTCTGCAGCACCGCCATCACGGCACAAGTGGCGACGATGACAGGGCCGCACAATGGGGATTGCAGGCTGTTGAATGTAGATTGCAGATACGGCATAAACGGCTGATACGACATACTGATACAACAGGTGTGAATATGCAGATAAAACGTGCGCTGTTGCTGTAAGAAGACTAGCGATCACACTTAATTAACACTATCACATACTCTGTAGGATGAAAGTAGCCTGTTGAGCGAATGTTCCTTTACGCATTTTCCTGACATTCATGTTTCCCCAAATGCCTCTTACTGAACCATTTACCATCAATCGCTCGGTATCAGCGCGGTGTGAAAGCGGCTCTATTATCCCCAGTGATAAATCGCCGTCCTCTGATTGAGCTAATGAGTCGGAAGTGGCCTCTCGCCCGAGTCCGGTGAATAAGTACCTCAAGTAGCGGTCGTTAGACGCGGCTGTCCGTTGGTCGCCGCCGGCTCCTTTCACTCTCGCTGACCCACCGTGTGTCCACTGCGGCGACCCCTCCCTATAGCTGAGAGGCAGGCGGTGTTACGTTAGCGTGCGCGCGCTGCCGTGGGCTGATTTCCCACGGCCACGCCCAGGTGGCACCGCCGAGACGGTCGGTCGGTGGACAGCTGTGACAAGTAATCTTGAGCTGTGACCACCGTCCCGTCCGGTCTCCGGCCGGCGGCGGAGAACGTATCTCTGGTGTCCGGTTTCCCGTCGACGCTGTTTTTTTTGTCTCTTGGAGCCTCTCTGGTCTTTGGTTTCTAGCATTTGTAGTCTCTGTGGCCTCGAGAGCAAGCTAGACGGCTAGGCCAAGATCTCTAGCGACAGTGAGGTAACGTTCTGACTGGCCTGTCCTTTGAATGAGACGGCTGTTTTTTTTTCTTCCTTTCAAATGTGTGCCAGTGGAGAGGATATGGTCGTCTCACCGCGGGGGGGGGGGGGCGTGTGTGGGATCTCACGGTGCAGTGAAAGGCTCATTGTATTGGTAAAACAGTACTCGGCCTTGACACCTTAAACTGTTTGTGTTTACGATCCGCCCTCCTGAAGATTGGAAGCTTGTGATCAAGTTCAAAACACTGGCTACTTTAAAAGTCGGCGCTGATTGTTTGGGTCACGTACAGATCCGTCTCGGTCGCGAAACTCCCAGCGACTAAGCTCCTCCGCGGCACACAGGAATGCTCGGTGGACTTCTCTGAAAGCAGTCGGCTTAGAAGAGCTTCTGGATGCCGCCAGTAGCCGCTGCCCAAGGCCGCTGCCGTCAGCCGGCGGGGGCGGGGGCGGCGGCGGCTGCAGTAGGCCAGTGGGCGGGGGCGGCGCCGTGCACAGTGCTCACGCTGACACAGTGGTGGGCGGGTCTGGGAACCAGTTACGTGCCCAGTCTGCCCGCTCGCGCCCTGCTGAAGCTCCATGGACACGAAAAATGCACGCGATCAGGCAGTAAGCGGGCGTCAGGGACGGTAACACTGCAGCAGTGGGCCGGCGCTCTATGTGCCAAGTGTTGTGGCCATCGGTCGTAGCTGAGTGCTGGCGTGAGTTGAGCTGGCGCTCTGTTCTGATACCATGACTCATAGGGTAGTTGTGAAGCTAATATAAATGGTCAACGAGTCAAAAGTCTAAAACAAAGAGACATGAGTCATGTTGCCCATCGGCATCGTACGTTTAATGCTTTCTTTGATGTAGCACGATGTATTTAAGCAGAAAGTGAGAATGCCCTTATTCAGTGATGTGTTGTAAGTTATTTTTTTATGAGATGACAGCTGAGACAGGCGTGACTCACGCTTCTGTCAAAAAAGTGATTTTAGGAGGACAGAAAACGGTTTGCTGGGCATTTCGGTTACGGATAGGGCTATACTACTGAGACTGCAGTGACTGTACAGTGTACACAGCAATAGAGATTGCAGTGGCGTACGGCTATAACAACATAGACTGCAGTTTCCACACGACTGTAGCATTAGAGACTGCAGTTGGAGACACGGCTATAACACCGGAGACTGCAGTTGGAGACACGGCTATAACACCGGAGACCGCAGTTGGAGACACGGCTATAACACCAGAGACTGCGGTGGCACACACGGCTATAACACCAGAGACTGCAGTGACGCACATGTATATAACACCAGAGACTGCAGTGACGCACATGTATATAACACCAGAGACTGCAATGTCGCACACGGCTATAACACCAGGGACTGCAGTGACGCACACATATATAACACCAGAGACTGCAATGTCGCACACGGCTATAACACTGGAGACTGCAAGTGGCGCACATGTATCTAACACCAGACTGCACTGGCTACACTGATTGCACAGGCTATAACACCGGAGACTGCAATGGCGTACACGGCTATAACACCAGAGACCGCAGTGGCGCATACGTATATAACACCAGAGACTGCAATGTCACACACGTGTATAACACCAGAGACTGCAATGTCACACACGGCTGTAACACCAGAGACTGCAATGTCACGCACGGCTGTAGCGCTAATCAGGAGGTGAATGGTGACGCTCCACAGCGTATGCCGTGAGAACGATGCACTGATGGGGTGTAGGACACAGCGGTATACGCTCCACCCGCTCTGCCGGTGTATTAGGAAAGGGAGGGAGGGTCTTGTTAGATGATTACTAATTACTATGCATCGCTGCGTGAAGTTTGGACTGTTCGTTGCCTAGATATCAAAATAGTGATGAATGACAGCAGAAGAACACTGTGCCAGCATTGCAATGCAGCGGCGCCTCTCAGTAGCTATCAAACAATGACAGGAACAAGGAAGCTGATTTGTTCAGATTTCACAGTGAGGAGAGACACGCACGTGCATTTGAGATATTCGCCTGATTAGCGTATAAAAGCTTGTGTAGAGCTACAGGATGTGTTTCCGAAGCTAGTTTTATGGCGACAAGTGATAAAACAGAAGCAAGTGATAGAATCGATCGTAGTCGTTACACGTCTCACAGCCGCTGCGTGGGATCGCTCATGCTATCAGACTGTTGGCTGTGGTACTACAAGAAACGTCAGCCCGTTTAGATGTGAGATCGCATGGCATAGAATGCATCGCAAGATGGTAATCATCATGATGATTCGGGGTTACTAAAACTTGGGATGCCCTTTAGCCCTATCATAAAGTAACACAGCCGCCCCACCAGGTCATTCATACTTACCTGGGCTATCCAGTCGAAAACCAGTTGTAACAATGGCCATGGATCCACCAGCTATATGGGTAACGATAGGACGTAAAAACCGGCCGGCGGACAATGGTCCCAGTCCGCCGGCGCACCTCGAAAGCAGTCCTGCCCGCCGGCACTGCCATGGATGGGTCCTCGGTCGATTCGTGGTTCATTCTGCCCACAATATCCGTGCAACTCCCCCGGTCTTATTGTCTATTTACTCGCTACAAACTACTGTACAGCAGTAAATCTGTATGTATTGATGCAACCTATATTATCCACTCAATCGCTCATAGCAACTCAAATCGAGCGGCTTCGTGGATTTTCCATGGCCCACATTGTCCCCTTTATATTCTCTACCGTCCTGAAAATACCAGCTTCTTCATACTGGAGTGAGCTTGAACAGCCGTTGGACTACAGACATTGGACATCTCTTCAACCCAAAGTGGCAGTGTTTTCGGCCGGTTTGGTGTGGCTGGTTCGACCTTCCTAAATTTAGTGAAATGCCCACCAGCTCGCAGTTGCCAGTCTCTGCCGCATTGCGAGTTGAGCCTACGCCTACCGGGCTTGTCTGACCCAGTAGCATGTTCAATCGCCGCCCGCACTAGCAACTATACCGCCAAACGGGTTTTTAGTGGGACGTAGGCGTGAGCTTGCATATGAATTGACGCCGTGCATGTGATTAGCGGTCGGTGGCCGGGAAATGCGCATAGCGGAGTTCATTGAGCTCGGTGCCACGGATTAGGATTAGATGCTCAATTGCTGTATTTTGGCTACCTATTCATGTGCGCTGCCATACAGTGGCGCGGGAACTTCTTCCAGACTGGGGGGGCTGAAC